ATGGAACGATAGATTTCAGAGGCATTTTACTCATAGTTTGTGGATGCTATAACTCAATCCCGGAATCTAATTCATTATATAGTGAGCAATAATTAAACTTTAGTAGGAAAGAGAAAAGCACGAGAGCTACCTCTAATCTATTTGCTGCTGCTGTAGAAGAAGAGGTAATGTCAGTGTGAAGACTCCATTACACAAGGTCCTCTAAAAAGGCTTCATAAACAAGAAATCATGGCTCAAACAAGACTCAAACAGGACCAAGATTTTATCCTCTTTTTGTCAAGTATGTGAGTGACATTCAACAATGGGGGCCGTGGAGGGAAAGGGCGGAGGGGATTGAAAAGGGCTTGGAAGGCGCGTAGTTTGAGGTGAAAAAAAGCTGCAACAAGAAGATAGAAGTATTTGAACAAAGCACCTGCCGTGGTACGAAGAAGTTATATTTTAATGAAGAGTTATCAAATTTAGTCTGTGAGCTCCAATCAAATTTTCAATTTCATTTTTTCACTCATTTTTAATCAAACATTCTTCAATAAAATAGTATTTTTATCACGAGAATAACTTTTCATTCTTTTATAACCATACATTCTCCATCAATCTACTATTTCAAAATACATTTTTCAAAAATAATGTAGCTCAAACACACCTTTAAATTTCTTGAATAGAATAAAAGAAAGTAATCCATTAAATTTACAATTCATTTTTTCACTCTTTTTCTTAATCACACATTCTACAAAAAAAAAAAAGCTATTCCAAAAATTATAACATTAAATAATGGGATCAAACGGGAACTTAATTTATATAATCCTTCTTAATTTTTTTTCTCAACTCATTTTTAACCACATATTCTCGTAATAAAATATGCTTCACTTAAATTCAAAATTTTTTCTTACCTTTTAGTCACACATTCTCATGATAAAATATTCTTAGCAAAAATGTAGCCGTACATTCTTTAAAAATTTACTATTTAAAAACTCACTCTTTCCCCAAAAAAAAAAAAGGTTGTCAAACAAAGACGGGAGTGAACTAACAAAAGCCAAAGGAGGAAGGTATAAGTACGTTCAAAAATTTGAGATTAGGGTCATTTATCTAAATAATAATAATAAATTTGGTGAATATGAATAAAGTGGATAATTTATTATCAAAATTTCATAATGTATTACACCTTGTACCTATCGTTTCTAATAAAAAAATTTGCTAAAAAAGCTTCGAGCAAAAAAAAAAAAGAAGAAGAAGAAGAAATTACAACCTGGCCTTGTTTGTTGCCCATTATTAAAAAAGAAAAAAGAGTTTTGA